ATTTTTTTTTATATGTTTGGTTTAGTTCTTTCTTCCATAGGAGTGAGAGATAAAGACAGGCACCCTCCACAGGTCTGATGTGTTCTCCTCCTCAGCCTTCCCACCCAGCCAGGATCAGGGGCACACATACCCAGCATGTACAAGTCAGCCTGGGAATCAAACCCCCGATCTTCCACATGGCCCCAGCATCACTGGAGCAGTGTGTTACTACTGCTGCCCCAGCCCAAAGGTTGAATGTTAAGTCGGGCTTTAGGTTAAACTTACGACAGTTTGAAGGAAATAAGTATGGAGTACATTTTATATTATAACCTTATTGGCAATGTTCCCTAAATATTCTTGGCCTTTAAGAATCATTATCATTATTATATTTATTACATTCCTTTTTACACAATGAGACCACTAAAACAAGTTTAAAATTTTTTTCAGTACTTTGCTGTGATTTCTGGGGAATTAGCCGAAGATCATAATATTGTGAATTACTTTCCTCCTTTTTCGATTCTGGAAATGCCTATGGGACACAGGAGCGTGATCTGTAAAACTTTGGAAGAGGAAACAATTCAGGCTACGTTAAACCTGTAATAACACAGGAAATATGTTGCATTTTGAGTTGAAGTTCCAGAAGCAGTACCCGTTAAAATAATGCTTACTAATGGTGGACTTTCAAAAAACACTTCAATCTGCCGATTTGAAGCATAACCTCACACCATTGCCCTGAGCATAACTTGAGATAACCACCTTTTGAAATAGCATTTCCGGGACCAGCAGTTAGTGTAATGGCTATGTCACTGGACTCCCACATAGTTGACCGCAGTTCAAGTCCCGGACCTGGTGGCTTAAACTCACGCTGGGCGCATGTGCGTGCGTGCCCAAGATCCCAAGAGGAGAATGGAGGAGAAGGGATTGCGGCGCGGCCATCCCCTCTGGGGGGGTGATTTCTCGCTTTCTGTCTCTGTCTCTGTCTCTGTCTGGCGAGCGCACGCGCCCTAGAGCAAAAACCTCTCCAAAAAAAAAAAAGAGAGAGAGAGAGAGAAATAGCATTTCCTTGTTCCTTTTTTCCTTTTAAAGGACCAGCAAAAATGTGTGAGCCTGATCGGTTTAAACACCTACACCTTTAAGAGAAAGGCTGGTCCTTAACATTCATTCAACAGGGATTTAAGTGCCTACCAGTTACAGCTAGACCCTTTGCGAGGTGGTAGGTCTCCAAACACAGGGAAGGGTAGGGCTGTTTCCCTGAAGGAGCTCATTGTGTATGGGGGAGGTCGAAGAGTAAACACATTATCATAATTACCACAGAGGGGGCTGTGGTTGAGGTAAGCTCTTGGCACTGGTAGGGAAGCTCCCCTGAGGAAAGTCTGAGAGTGTGAGTGGCAATTAAATAATAGCAGAGGAGGGAAGGTTGCTGAAGGCTCTTCTAGACAGAATAAACAACGTACTCCAATCCTTTAAAACAGAGGGGAGACGAGATGCCTCAGCCTTGTGGATGGGTGGGCGGGCTAGAACAGAGCAGAGGACAGAATGCCAAACGCCTTGGGGTGCTTGATCCTGAGGGTGTTGTAATCCATGCTAATCTGTTTGGACTTCATTCTGAGTACACCAATAAAGGATTGTTATGCAGGCAGGTGATGCAGTCAGGTTGGCCCCAGAAAGCTCCTGCTGATTTAAGAATGTGATAGAAAAGTGACTGTACTCTTTCAGGTAAAAGGTTATTAAGTTAGACTTTTTTAAAAATTATTTTATTTAACTTTATTTATTCATTCATTTATTTATTTCAGTTTGACCAGAGAGGGATAGAGTGAGAGAGCGAGAGAGTGTGCGTGCGAGAGAGAGAGAGAGAGAGGGAGAGGGAGAGAGAGCAAGCAAACCACCAGGTCCAGGACTCGAACCACGGTCAGCCATGTGGGAGTCCAGCACCCTTAACCACCAAGCCACCAGTCAGCCCCGTAAGTTATGCTTTTATCATTATCTTCCTCAGAGAGTGATTTGCAAATCCAGGGTTCTTGAAGCCTTGGATGACACATGGTTTAATAGGAAAGACATAGGAAACCATCCCTTTTGTCACGTCCTTAACTGGGGGACTTAACTGTGATTTTTAGACATTTTGAGGGCACTGGGAGTGTAAGCGGAGTATAATGCAATTCATCACTTTCAGACAAGCAGGTAAATAAAGTGTGCATTAAAAGGAAAGACAGACATTAGACACAGATATTTATTTTCTGGAGTGAATGTCTGAGTGCGTCAAGAGCTTTGTCTAAGAGAGCACCTGCTCGGGGAGGCTTTTTGCTGTGCAGTCACTGTTTTCAGAAGAAAGCTTCTGTACAGTGTGCAAGGCTGCTTTCTTCACACTTGGAGGCAAATGGAATTTGCTATTTTGGGCCTTGCGGGTTTTTTGCCTTTTGCTTTTGCGACGCGCTAGAGACAGAGTGGTATTTGACAGAGTCTCATCACATAGCAATCTCCCCTGCAACAGCCTCCCAGTTAACTAGGATCGTGGGCACATGCACCACCCCGGCCCATTTAGGTTGGACCAGGAATGGAACCTGGGCCTCCTATGCAGCCCCTCCTATCCCGCAGCAGCACTGCTGGCCTGCGTCACTGCGGCTGCACTGGCTTTATTTAATGTATAAGAATTTGAAAGTGGCCTCCTCTCTGTGGACGTAAGTGGTACGAGAGAGCAAAGCAAGCGGTTTGTGGCTCATATGCCGAGCACTTTTACTTCCAAATAGCATGTGTTTTCTAGTTAAATTTGTTTATTTTAATAAGACATTAAAATGTGTTACGATGATGTGTTTATTGAGCAGTAGAGTAGAAAAATGGTAGACCCAGAATCCAGAAGGCTCGAATTTAGTTCTCTTACTGCTATGCCTTCCTATGAAATGACATGGACGACGGTGTGGAGAGGAGGGGGACAGGTGGCATGGTAGTTATGGCACTGGACTCCCATGGGGCCAACAGTGGTTTGAGTCCCAGACCTGGTGGCTTGCTTTCTCACTTTCCCTCCCTCCCTTCCTCCCTCTCTGGCCAAATTAAATAATAATTATTATTTTATGAAATGGCATAGACAAATCAGTTAACTTACTTTAAAATGTAAAATTAGACCATCTTTAAAATATAAATTGCTGAAAGACTTTAACAATTCTGTGATATATAGAACCACAATTTTATTTCATAGGGGAGATAAAATTATTGTCAGGTGTATACCTATATTGCTTTATAGACAACCGTTCCATCAGAGTACATATTAATGTGTATTTCTCGATCAGTAAGGACCACTGCACGCTTTTTTTTAGAGACGCTTTTTGCTATAGGGCATGTGCACGCACTGAAGAGACAGAGACAGAGAGACAGAAAGCAAGAGATCACATACACACACCCCCACACACATGCTAGAGTTCCTTCTCATCCAAGCTCCTCTCAAGATTTTGGACATGCACACACATGCCTGGCGTGAGTTTCAGGCCACAGGTTAGAACCACAGTTGGCCACATGGGAGTCCAGTGCCTTAACTATTATGCCACTTGCCAGTCTCAGGGGCCATTACACCTTTATCCTTTCTGACCCTTGGTTGTGAAATGTATTTAATAAAAATTTACCAAAGGAATAGAATTATTCAATATCCCATATGCCTTCCAACAATAGATAAACCTGATAAAAAGCAAAACTTCAACTACTATTTTTAATTTCCAAGGTAGAAATTTTGTAAAACCAAATCTAGGGGCCAGCAGGTGGCATGGTAGTTAAGGGCACCGGGCTCCCACGTGGTCTACCTGATTTGAGTCCTGGACCAGGCGGCTTGTTTTCTCACTTTACCTCTCTCTATGTCTTTCTCTCACTCTGTCCCTCTCTGGTCACATTTAAATAAATAAGTAAATAAATAAAGTTAAATCAAATAATTCTTTTTTAAAAATCTAGCTTTACTTTATGCTGTAAGTCATATATTTGAGCTTTTTTTCTTGGTTGTGTCAAATAAAATGCAAGCCATGTGCGTGTGTTTTACATGGTTCCATAATTTAATAATGAATACTTACCTAAAGCTGTATTTTTAAGGAATGTGTTTTTTTTTTTTTTTTAAAGTTTTGTGTACTATTTCAAGCAGAGTCATCTGTACTAGCCTAGTTTTTTTTAGGTTTTTCTGACGTATTTCATTCCCTTAACGACCACTTACTTGAATGCCTAGCCTGTTAGGATGGGAAAATCATGGCATAGTTTTCTGTTTTTCTATGGAAAAATGCGTCGAGACTTTTCCAACAATCCAATACTTAAACTCTAGAGTTAGGTAATAAGGATACTAAGATTAAAGATACATTTTCTTCCCGGGAGATTTCTTTGTCTTGAAAACAACTGTTATATTGTCCTAACAAAGTAAAAGTGATATAGAAAGTGAGAAAGAAAGCAGCGTCTAGAATGACTCCGGAAAGAGCCACTGGGACAGCTGGTAATCTAAGAAACAAAGCAGGTTTGTGAGGGATGGAAGAGGGTGGATTCCGTTTTGAACGTGGAGTTCGAAGGCCTGAGGAACATCCACATAGGGTGTTTTGTAGACTCTTAGGTACCAAGTTGAGGAGTTTGGGGAAAAGATCTGGACCAGTGGTTAGATTTGCTAGGATACACTCCAAATTAAGTAGTAGCTCACTTGATCCGGAGATCAACAACCCTCCTATGGGTTCAAGCACAAAGTAGTCAGTGCTCTTTGCTAAATTATGTTGCTTTCTTTGTTCTTACCTAGCCTATCAAAAGCCAAGTTGTAATTGCCTGAGGTTTAAAGGTTGAGGGTCAAATAAGTTACTGTGTTTGCTTTCAGAATGTGGTAATCGGTCTATGGACATTATGTATCACCAAAGTAGGTTCTGTAGAGGAAGAAAACAATGGCAACCCAGTTACCCTTTGGGGGCTGTGAATTAGACTGATTTAAGGCAGACTAACAAGAGAAAACCCCTATTTAATCATGTTTATTCACATCAGGATCCCACAAAGCATGAACTGCAAAGACATAGGTCAGATCATTGTCATTTCGGCAGCAGGTACACTGAAACTGGAACAATACAGAGAAGATTAGCATGGCCCCACTCAAAGATGACACACGTATTTATGAAGTATTCCATATTTCTTTTTTGCCTCTGGGCTCGCCAGAGAAAGAGACAGAGACAGTGAGAGGGGAAAGAGAAATCACTCTTCAGGAGGGATGGCAATGCTACAAACCTTCCTGCCCCTAGCTCTTCTTTCTCCTCCCAGGCAAGCCATAGAAACTAGAATTCCTGGGACCAGCAGTTAGCGTAATGGCTATGTCACTGAACTCCCATGTAGTTGACCATGGTTCGAGTCCCAGACCTGGCAGCTTAAACTCAGGTCAGGCGCGTGTGCGTGTGTGCCCAAGATCCTGAGAGGAGAATGGAGGAGAAGGGATTGCAGCGTGGCCATCCCCCCTGGGGGGTGATTTCTCCCTTTCTGTCTCTGTCTGTCTTTCTGGCAAGCGCACACTCCCTATAGCAAAGACCTCTCAAAACAAAATTAGAATTCCTCTTCCCCAAGGCAGGTCATTGAAACCAGAGCCCCTTTCCCGCAAAGCCAGCCATAAAACCTAACATGCTTACACTGACTGCTCCCTGCCTTTCTGTGTTAGGGTGGCCCATAAGGAAATTCTTGGACCTACTTTATCTGATATTAGATCATAATACCCTCATTCCACAGGGCTCCTGCCCCATACCGGGAGAAAGGAATGCTCCACCAAAAGATCAAGAAGAATCTAGACAGGCAGGCTTTGCTTCATTCTGTTGCCATAAGCTCATACCCATTTTTACCCAATCACATTTCTATGTGGTTATCCTTGCTTCCTCAAACCTCAGCAGAAAATCACGTCATTTCCCCTGTTTCTTTTCAATCTAAATACTTCCATGTCCCGCCAAACCGTGATCAAAACTATGCTTGTTCTCTTACTAATTTCACTTTCTCTCTCTCTCTCTCTTTGTCTCTTTTTGGTGAGCAAACATGCCCTATAGCAAATGAAAATGATAAATAAATAAATGCTTTAAAATAATAAATAAATAAAATGTCCACATATTTCTTCATTTTAGAAAAAGTGTCCAGGGCAGGCCCTGCATAGCAATAGAGTAAGGAAATGAACCTTCCCCCAATTTCAGTACATTTTAATAAGCTCAGTGTATTAATTGTATGACTTAGAAAATCAGTTCATTAAAGGCCAGCTCCCTGGTACAATGGTAATGTGCTACTCAAGTAAAGCTAGATCCTACCGAATGATCATAGGGTTCCAGTCCTCGCCTGGTCAGCCTGAGCCCCGCCACATATACGCACACGAGTCCAGAATCTGACACTCTGAAGGACTGAGGAAGGGGGTCGCAGCGTGACCAGATCCTGCGAGGGGCGCTCACCTCTCTCTCGCCCTCTTTCTCTGTCTCTCTCAAGTGCACACTGTCATAAATTTTAGAAAGAAATTTGGTTAACTAGTGAATTTTCCGTTTTGATCATTAGAGAATTTTTTTTTTTATTATTTTTTACAATCCAGAGAATCACATTTTAAGAAACTTTTAGATCTTGGTAGATAAGGTGCCAAATACAACATTAAACTGGCAAAATTTAATTTTGCCATCTAATATTGGGCTTGGGGGGACGTCATGGACACATTTTTACATAGAACAACGTAGGAAAATACATCATGACTTCTGACAGCCCAACAGGTGTCAACTCAGCTTTGTAAATTCCAAGAAAAATACAGTGGTGCCATTGAGGATGGTGTGGTGTAGACTATGGATTCACATGGAATTGCTACTCTGGCATCTGGCTTCAAAAGGGAACATGAAGAAGACCAGTGACTGGGTGTTAACCCAGAACTTTTCATAGAGCTTCAGTCATAAATGTGCACAAGACAGAGGTTAAATGAAAGGAAAATGGTGGCAACTGCTTCTGTTTTCAAGTACTTACATTGAAGTTAGACAGTATTACCAGGATCTAGATGTTTGAATCTTGCAAAGTGAAGTCACTAGACAGCCACTGAGTATATAAGGAAAACACACCAATGTTGGACTTGCTTTTGGTCTTGGATTAGCAAAAATGCAGGGCCACTGGCTTCTGTAGATGAGCTTTGCTCAGGAGGTGTAGGAATAAGAGTAAGGTGTTTTGTTGTTGTTGTTGTTTATATGAGGCCAAGAGGTGGTGTGTTAGTTAAGGCACTAGATTCCCACATGGGCCACTGTGGTTTGAGTCCCAGACCTGGAGGCTTGAAAATCATGTCAGGACATGTGCATGCATGACCAAAATCCCAGGAGGAAGATGGAAGAAAAGGGATTGTAGCCTGGCCACAGGCCCTCTGGGGAGTGATTTCTCACTTTCCTCACACACTCTCTCTTCAATGAGTGCAGGCACCCTATGACAAAAACAAACAAAAGATTAGGGTTTTTAAAACTTCTCTATCAAATTAGAAATAGAATATTGTGAGACCAGCAGTTCATGTAATGGCTATGTCGTTGGACTCCCATGTAGTCCACTGCAGTTCGAATCCCAGACCCGGTGGCTTAAAACTCACGCTGGGCACATGTGTGTGCGTGCCCAAGATCCTAAGAGGAGAATGGAGGAGAAGGGATTGCGGCATGGCCATCCCCCCTGGGGGGTGATTTCTCGCTTTCTATCTCTCTGTCTGTCTCTGTCTGTCTGGTGAGTGCACGTGCCCTATAGCGAAAAAAAAAAAGAGAGAGAGAGAAAAAAGAAAAATAATATTGTAAGGGACAAACCTTAGTGCTTTCTTATTAAGATCCACAACTTCAAAGAAAATGTATAATTGGGATCTGACTGAGGGATTTTATAATTTTTATTTGCTCCTTCTAAGACGTTTTAGAAGAAAAACTAATGTGGCTCCTGTCTTTCCTCTCTTCCCTTAAATCAAGATAACAACTAAACTAACCAGGCTGGTTATCCCACTGAAACCCTACCCATCACTTACAACCCTTCCTTATTACATGGTTACATGCAACTTCCTCCTTTCTATTGAGCTGAGCTTCAATGGTATTGTAGCAAAATCAGAACATTCTCCACAAACAAACTTGGGTTTATGCTTTTGAGATGTAACGTTTCTGCACCGGACTCTGTTGCTTGATTACAGAATCCATTTTCCAGTTAACAAATAACATTATATTAAGAGAGTCTTCTTTTTACCAATTAGGTCAAAGTCCTAAAATTTTAAGACCCAAACCCCATGGTTTAGAGCGAACTGATTCACAAACCATAGGTGACTTTGCTACAGCAAGAAAGGGTATGTACTTTAGTACCGCATGCGTGGGAGTCTTGGGAATTTATTTACTTTGTAATGTTTTTTTTTTTTTCCTTAAGAAGAAGAGCCTTAAATCATTCATACTCTTTTGTAAATCAAGCTTCCTGCATGTTATTTTTAAAGTGAATGCCTCCTACCATACATCAGGAGTCTACTTGTTATGCCATTAACAGCAGCATGATAAATATTTCATACTATGTGATACTCACTATAGTCTTTTTGCATTATTCTGTTTTTTTTTAAAGATAATACATTGTTTTCTTTAAGCTTGTGAACTGCTTGTGTGTCCCAGCTGTCTCCTGCTTTTATAGATATTGTGTGTATTGTGTTCTAAGATAGAATAAAAAAAATCATTTCCATGGATTAATTATGCTATCACTGAGAAATTGACGGCTGAGCTGCAATTAGCTTTTGGGTGTCAAAACAGTAAAGCATTACACGTTGAATACTATAAAACTGATGCTTCAGTATTGATAAATAGGAACTTTTTTTGCATAGATGATTATATTTTCATCCTGAGGATGAAATCAGTAAGATAGTGAACTAATGAAATAATGACGAGAATAAATCAGGAAACTCTAATGGAATCAGATCACATTATTATTTTTTTTGTTCTCATTTAGTATATATTCATAAACTACTAACCTAAATTTAGAAGCAACATGTTGTAGTAGAGCTTTAGCCTTTGAGTTAACAATCATGAAACATCGTCTATTTAGCTTATGCCACTCATTGGTAATATTAAGCGGTGTAACTTCAGGCAAGTCCTATAAAACCCATGAACCTCATTTCATATGTGAAACCAGCTGGCCTTAGGGTATTCTATCAAATAGAAATAGAAGCACAGTTTGTTTTTCAAAGCTGTATACACTAAAATATCTTTTTCTCTCTTTGCAGCCAAGCCAGCGCCTTTAGAAATAAAACCTTTGCCAGAATGGGAGGAATTACAAGCCCCAGTTAGATCCCCCATCACGAGGAGTTTTGCTCGCGAGTAAGTCCTTTGTTTAAAATAATGTGGATAGTTTAACCCCTTTTTGGAGTTTTGGGATGTGTTTTCATTAAGATACCAGGATGTCATTGTCTTTTTCTTCTCCCCCTCCCATGAGCGTAAGAGTTTTCCAGAGCCAACGTGATATGCAGTGGTTTTGTTGTGACAGCTCATAGAATAGATGTTTGGGTCCTCTTAGGCTTTACAAAGATTTCTATTTTTCTTTCTAATCTAGTAAGTATGAATAGTTATAACTTAGACAAACCAAGATTTTTTTGGCGTTGTCAGTAATTGTTAAGTGTGTGAAGGATTCACAAAACCACAGCTGTCTGAGAATTACTGATCTGAAAAACATGATGGTTTCTTGTGGGGATTCTTTAATTGAGATGTATTTAAATGGATAATGGGAAATGAAAAGTATTGATGAAGTTAGAAATCTATGTTGAACATAGGTCCATGTTTTGTCTGTTCATATAGCTAAGTGTTTTAAAATAGGAATTCTTAAATCTTTTTTTATGATTGATCTGTGACTTTCTTCTGAGCCTCAAATTACAGGCAATGCAGTATTTTTTGTTTGACACAAGGATCATTTGATGTCTAAAATATACTTTTATAAGACAGCCATAAATTGTTGTGTGTTTGAAAAGTGTGTCATGCTGAGTGTGTGCAGTAAATGATTACAAACATGAATGCATATTTTTTTTAAAGAATTCAAACTACCACCCTTTTGGGTGGGGAGGGGGAATGATTTTAGAAATTCCCATCAAGGTTTATGTTTATAATTAGTGATAATCTCTGTAATTAGCTCCTCCAGGTTTCCCATGTCCCCTCGACCGGATTCAGTGCACAGCACAACTTCAAGCAGTGATTCACATGACAGTGAAGAGAATTATGTCCCCATGAACCCAAACCTGTCCAGTGAAGACCCAGTACGTGAAGTTGTCATCTTAACCTCTCCTATCTTAACCTCTCCTATATGAGCAGCCTTTTAAATCATTCTGTGTGTGGTTGGAACATAATCGAGTGGTATGAAAAGCTTGATTTGGTACTGAAACTAGTTTGCTTTAAAATTCTATCAAATTTTTGAGGGACCAGCAGTTAGCGTAATGGCTATGTCGCTGGACTCCCACGTAGTCGACCGTGGTTTGAGTCCCAGACCTGGTGGCTTAAACTCAACGCCGGGCACGTGTGCGTGCGTGCCCAAGATCCTGAGAGGAGAATGGAGGAGAAGGGATTGCGATGTGGCCTTCCCCCCGGGGGTGATTTCTCACCTTCTCTCTCTCTCTGTCTTTCTACATCTCTGGCGAGCACACATGCCCTATGGCAAAAACCTCTCCGAAAAAAATTCTATCAAATTTTTGGAGCCAGCAGATGGCATAGCAGTTACATCGCTGGACTCTCACATGATTAACCGCAGCTGAAGTCCTGGACCCGGTGGCATCAGAATCACGCCAGGCACTTCTGCATGCCCAAGATCTGGGACGAGAAGGGATTGCAGCATGACTGTCCCCCATGACAGATGATTTCTCACTTTCCCTCTCACTGTGTCTGTCTGTCTGTCTCTCTCTCTCCAGTGAGTGCAAACACCCTAAAGCAAAAAAACTCTTTAAAAATTATCAAATTGTTAAAGTATTCAAAAAGGAATGTAATTTAAAATATTTATGTCAGCACTGGATTAGAATACTGCTAAGTAAACCAGTAACGTTTTCACTGATTTGGCAAGGCAAGGCAATTTTTATTACTTGACCTTTACCTAACAGTATTTACTGTTCTTCAATTTGATAAGTGGTATTTTATTGTTTTTACCAACTTAATTCGTTTTCTTCATTATAGTAAATATAAGGGGTCTTCTTGAAGTACCCTTGTAAACTAAGAAAATCCTAAATAAATACCATATCAGAATAGAGACTGTAACCAGCTTTTTTCTTTTTGCATGATAGTACATGCATGTGCACATGTGAGAAAGCAGGCGAGATAAATACCCTCTCCTGGATCTGATCCCACCACAGTCCCCTTCCTTGGGCCCTCCAGCCCATCAGAACTTGGGCACATGTACCTAGAGCATTCCATGCTGGTTGTGTCAGGGATTGGAACCGCAATCACCATATGGAATCTTGAGCATATGATTCTTGAGCAGTGTGTTACCACTGTGCCACGGAGCTGACTCTGTCACCCATGTTTATCTTTAAGTAGTTGAATGAACTTCTTTCTTACTACAAAAGTATTTAGAGTATTTTCCTTTTTAGAGGTAAAAAAGAGTGTGCATGCTCACTGAGAGAGAGACAGAGACAGTGAGAGGGAAAGGAGAGATCACCCCCCAGGCAATCCCTTCTGCTTTATTCTCCTCTTGGGATCTTAGGCATGGACGCAGACATGCCTGGTGTGAGTTTAAAGCCACCAGGTTGAAGATTCAAACCATAGTCAGCCATGTGAGAGTCCAGTGACATAACTGTTATGCTATCTGCTTGCCCCTAGAGTATTTTCTTTTCTTCTCGCTTTTTTTTTTTTTTTTTTTTTTTTTTTTTTTTTTTTTTTTTTGGGGGGGGGGGTTTTTTTTATGAGATTTTTTTTTTTTTTGAGAGGTTTTTGCTATAGGGCACGTGCACTCGCCAGAAAGAGAGATAGAGAGAAAGAAAGTGAGAAATCACCCCCCAGGGGGTTGGCCATGCTGCAATCTCTTCTCCTCCATTCTCCTCCAGGGATCTTGGACATGCATGCACATGAGCCCAGCATGAGTTTAAGCCACCAGGTCTGGGACTCGAACTGCAGTCGACTACATGGGAGTCCAGCGACATAGCCATTACACCAATTGTTGGTCTCCTTTTCTTTTTATTTTTTAAGAATTATTTTATTTAACTTTATTAATTATTATTATTTGTTTTAATCTGAACAGAGAGAGAGAGAGAGAAAGTAAGAAAGCAAGCTACCAGATCCGAGATTCAAACCACAGTAAGCCATGTGGGACTCCAACATCTTTAACCACCACGCCACTTGCTGGCCCCCTAGAGTTTTTTCTGAGGCACTCAAAGGTGCCTCAGAATTTGCCCCAAATTCTCAATAACCATAAAAATCTCAGAAAAGCCACCCAACAGGAAAGTTCTAAAGTGTGATTTGTCAGGGGTAAGTATTAGGTGAAGGGAAAAGACTAGAAAGGAAAATATAACATGATGATTGCAAGTCAAAGGAAATAAAAGTACAAGTTTTTTATTCCTGTGACATTAAGCCAGACAAGATAGAGGTATCCAAATATGCACTAATTAAGTGGATTTCTGAAGCTCGGAGGTTCTAAGTGTTAGAATAAGCAGAAATGGCCCGCAATAAAAATCCACCGTGCCGTTCCCATCCCGCATGCTCATCGTGGTCCGTACAGGACCTCCTCAGTAAGCACGTGCTAGTTAGAGCAATGTTGACCAAGTCTCTTGGAATTTGATATATTATTGTAGAATACCATTGAAGTTTACAAGGTTGAATGGCTGAAGCCAATAAAGGAAGCAGTCTCAGAGAACTTGGGACAGGAGCAGATCAAACCTGGTCTGTACATAAAACGGAGATTAACTCTGTACGGTGGAAAGTTGAAGCCCCGTGTATTTCCTAGACTAATGATCATGAGGAAGGCATGTAGTGGGTGATCCTATTCATTCAGGTGTACAAAGATCAAAGGTCATGCATTCATCAGGGGCCAGAAAATGGCACCGCAGTAAAACACAAAACTCTTCAAAGCTGACCTAAGTGGGAAGGTTCCAGGTTCATGGATCATGGCATCCAGGCCCTGCTGGGTTACTGTTCTTTGTTTTATTTTATTTTTTGTTTCTCTTCCTCTTCCATGGAATAACTAAGTAAAACTTTTTAAAAAAAATTTTCTTTAGAAAAGTGTGAATCCTTAATGTGACACCTGAAATTTGAGTGATGGCACACCATTACTTAAGACACAAATATTGTTCTATAATGACAACAAAAATAGGTTAAGTGATTGTATGTATTTTTTAAAAGAATTTTCTTTTTTTTTTCATAAAGAGATTTTTTGCTATAAGGGTGCATGCTCTCTCCAGAGAGACAGAAAGAGACAGAGAGACAGAAAGCAAGAAATCACCCCCCAGGGGGATGGCCATGCTCCAGTCCCTTCTCCTCCATTTTCTTCTTGGAATTTGGGCATGCACGCACACGTGCCTGGTATGAATTTTAAGCTGCCGAGTCCAGGATTTGAACTGTAGTCCACTACATGGGATTCCAGCGACGTAACCATTACACCATCTGCTGGTCTCTAAAAGAATTAAAAACAAAACAAAACAAAACAAAAAAACACTAATGCTATGGTTTTGTTACTTAATTCACAGAACACTTTTAATAACACCTGGGATTTCAGTTTGAACTGTTCTGGGAAAATACTGGGTGAAGGACCAGAACACAGAAACAGGCTTTTCCCAGTCGAGATTAGATAAGAACAGACTTCCTTGTAGACACACACGTTTTAACAGTTCTTAGTCCTAGTCATGGACATAAAACAATTTAACTAGAAATTCTGAGAAATCCTCCTTAGTAACAAGTTACTGGGATTGAATATGTAGGTCACTTGAATTTATGGGTTCCTTTTATAGCTTTACAGTCCTAGGAAGATTCCTGGACATTCCCAGTCAGGGAAATGCAGGGTGTGGGTTCTTTCATTGGCCATGTCGGAATACAGAATTTTACAGGCACTCATGGCTGATGTTTTATGTGAGAATAAAATAGTCATTCAGAGAAGACGTGTCATGATGATTTCAGTTTCTTCATGCATTAGAAAAAAGGGGTTAGGAGATTGCTATTCATTTTAATTGAGCACCAAGGCTTGCTCACATTGCTGACGTGAAGGAATACCCTTTTTTTTTTTTTTTTTTTTTTTTTTTTTAGGTGTTTTTTTTTTGTGTGTACGTGTGTTT